ACCAGTGCTTCACGTAAAGTCGATCTGATCCGCAGTCCTGAAAAATGCATCAGTCGGTTCATTTTGTGTGTGCGAAAAAGTGAGCAGCTAAGGGCTCGCTTGAGTTCCCCAATTTATTCATTCCGGAAAAACTTCTACACTCAGTCTGATCTCTCTTCACTCGCTGCACAGGAAAATGTTGGTAAAGCTGTTTGGAGGTGATTTAACGGCACTGGAAATAGTAATGCTTGTAACAGTGGCTATCCTCATCATCCTATTCCTGGTCATAATTGTGAACTGTTGCATGCAGTGCTGCTGCGACGTCAACGATCTGCATGGGTGTGAAGAAGAAGACCGGAAATTTCTTGGCAAAGGTCATCATTCGACTGCTCTCAGATCACTTAGGTGCTAATCTCACCGGTAGATTATTTGTCTTTATATTACACAGATATTGCGCCTCGGGCACTGTGCTGATAGTGTAGCGCAGCAGCCAGCAAGCCAACGAGGAATAAATCTTCCGTTTCAGACAGTGCACATTGAATGCTTAGCTGCCTATTAAGATATTTTTTGTTTTTTTTTTTTCTGATAATCTTTCATATTTTTCTCCTTTTTCAAAAAATGTACGTTAAATTTTTGATTTTTATTGATATTTTTAATCATTAGGCTGTTAGGCAGCCAAGTATTCGCTGCAGCAGTTTTCTTCATTTATGCAAAACAGTCATTGACGACGCGCACCAGGCGGACCCGTGCGATCATGCGTTTTTACAGTATTTCGTGCCATAGTAAGATCGCGTGGAATCCCAATAACTGGAATTTGTGAAGTACTGGTCCTCAAAGATCGAGAAGTTAATTGTGCAACTACGCGGTAATTGGACAGGGAACATTCCCTAAAAATTTCAACCTCCCAGCTTTTCTCGTTCTCGAGTTAGCAATTTTCCCATCAATTTCCATGCAATCGCGTGCGAGGCCCAGACAAGTTTATATCGCGGTCCTAGGGCGGCACTTGGCCGGGGAACCCGTTGAAAAAATTTTTGCGCCGGAGCTTGCGTGGTTGCCGAATTGAAATACCCGGATAGACGCACAAACATACATCATACATACACATACATACACACAAAGAGACACACACACACGAATATACGCACACCATCGGTCGTCACAATATGTGTTTTTGCATTTGCATATATACAAAAGCGCATAACAACTAGCTCTTCAATAAACCTTTTCTCCAGCCACTCTAAAGAAGCATCGTTGCACTATCAAAATCACTAAAATCATCCAAGCTGTTGGTGTAGAGTTCCGATGATACTAAAATGCATCAGCAAATCAGGTTCTGAGTTACGTATAAAGAGACCTCGGAAGAGGAAACTTATGATATCTTATTAGATGGTGCTTGCCGTTAGCATGTCTTACCAATTTCTGGGAGTCAGTTACCGAAGGAGCGTTAATTTTTGACGTTTTGTTTCTTCAATTACAACCAACGCCAGCTGCTTCAGAGGTGGAGCCATGCTTACAAACCAGTTAAATACGAAGTGAGATTTTGGCTCAAATAGTAGCAAGCTTGAAAGCCCAAAGTATAAAATTATTCGGTGCTTTGCTTTTTGATTCATTTAAATATATCGGATTCGGGACTTCCTTTTCATGTATTTTCGCCGTCAGATGGCAATTCAGCAATTTTCAGAGTATTATGATGAAATTTGCTTGCTTCTTTATCGGCATAAGCAGATGGAAATGCGAGAGACTGGAAAGAATCGCGAATTGCAGTGCAAAAAGCAGGTTCATATCATTTATTGTCAATTGTTTTAACTGCGTGTAAATCGATTTGAAATGTGCTGTTTGGTTGGAATGACTTTAGCTTCCACTTTGGTTAGGATGACTCCAAATAGCTCCTTTTCCAGAGCATGCTGTCATGATTTGCCTCCGTAACCTGCCATCTTCATAAATGCAAAAT